GGAGGCTTGAAGTTTAAACAAAACTGGGTGACGCAGATTCCAGATCTGTTTTGAAAGGTTTTGAGGATGTTCTTGCTGCAGGTCAGCTGCATTTAAGTGAGGTGTATCCCTGGTGATGAATGTGACTCACACTGCCCCCCGAGCTGAACCACGTGGGCTTGGTTGGTTGGCTCTGAGGACACAGAGTGCTGCTCATTGGCCCACAGTTATAGCTTTTTGCTTGTGGATCTCTCTGTGTATCCTTGACAGGCACCGTCCAACTGTCTTGCAGAAGTGTGTGGTTAGCCAGGATGGACACTGAGCAAAGCCACTGTAACAGATTTATGGTAGAATTATCACCATTCCTGCTAAAATATACTCTGCTATGGGGAATCAGCATAGAGCAAAGGAAATGTTATTCTTACATCTAAATCATAATAATGGAAATAGTAGAAATTTGTTGTCCCAGAATATAGCCAGTGGATGAAGTGAGAGAGAGGTACGTAGAAGGGTCCCCTTGAGAAATAGTGAGCTTTCAATTTTTTGTTCAAATGGAGCAGCCCACTGATACAGATAGCCCCCAAATCACTTACGTTTATTTTTGTAATACATACTTTTGCCTTTACTATACAACTGGTACAGTATTCATAGTACCTCAGCCTAATTCATGAGGATACAGTGTGAACCCCTGATTTAGAATATGCAATAAAACTGTCCAGTTTTGCTAAATTGTCTCTTGACCCACTGTTCAATTATTTTTACTGTTCTGGGGATGTTGGATTAATGCAGAGAAGAAATTAATTGCTCGTTCCCTATTTTAGGGGCCACGTTAGGATATAACTTCTTCCATCTCACAAAAAGGAATTTCAAGCCTCCTTCCCTTCAGACTTTCCAGACTATAAACAGAGCTGGCGATAGTATCAGCCCAAGTTATTGTTTAAACAGAGAAGTGGATAATATCCAGGAAAGCTGAAAACAAGTTTTCAGGATTACTCCTGAAAGGAAAAATTTAATATACCCTTGGAAAATTAGAGTGGATAAGATTTCTTGAAAATTAAATGATTTTAATGCCATTGTTGGATAGTTTTGATTAATTACTTTTCTTTCTTTACTTAATTTTTTACTGCTCACCATTATGGGCTGAGATTCTGGCTGCATAAAGTGTGAACCTAGAGTGCTTCAGCATCCGTGAAGGGCAAAGTCCTAGATACTGAGAGCCTCAGAGAGCACATGTATTCACCTGCTTCTCCACCACATAATTTTTTCCTTTCTTTTTCCTTTTCCACATAAAAATGATTTACTTTTGTAAATGCTATAATGTCCTTAGTATGCAGTTGTTTGGGACCTCAAGGAAAGTTTTCATGGTACCTTCTCTTCTCTCTCCTTTATGATAGAAACATCCTAAACATTTTAACTTAATATTTGGTCACACATAAAAGCTACTTTCTAACACTCACCATTCCTGTCATTTCATTAGAAAGTGCCGAAGGAATTAATAAATGCCTGGAGGATAATTTAACCTCTGAAGACTCCTTCAGAATCACAGGAATAGAAAAGGTCTGGCTCATTGGCTCTGTTCGTCCCTGGCAGTTTCTTACAGGGCTACTGCTTTTGTTCTTGGAACACAAGTCCTAGAGTTAGATGTTATGTGATTGGGATTCTGCTTTTAAGAACCCAAACATGTCAGAGCAGCAGTAAATTCAGGGTCTCAGAATGAGTAGGGTTTCGGGCCGGCCTGTGGCTCACTCGGGAGAGTGCGGTGCTGATAACACCAAGGCCACGGGTTCGGATCCCATATAGGGATGGCCGGTTAGCTCACCGGGTGAGTGTGGTGCTGACAACACCAAGTCAATGGTTAAGATCCCCTTATCGGTCATCTTTAAAAAAAAAAAGAAGAATGAGTAGGGTTTCGATAAGTGGGTAACGCCATGTTTCCTGTTCCATACCCAAGCCTTTACAAACCTTCTTTTATTTGTGGTCCTCACTGCCTGCTTCACTCCAAAACAGTGGTTTCCTAAACACAGCTGAATGTCTAGACCCCACGTTACTGTTTATTCTCCAAAGCAACCATTACTGAGAAAAACCTCACAGACCTCCAGGCTTTTGCAGTTCAACCACCAGTTGCAAACAAGACCTGCTGTAGAAGCTCGCTATCATTTCTTTTTCTTTAGGCCTCATGAAATAGAAATGTTTTTTGTTTGTTTGTTTGACATAAACACATCTCTCACATTTCCTTCCGAGTCACTCTTGGTCTCTGACCCCCTGATGCCATTTCACTGGGCTCTTCTGAACACCGTTCCTTCCGTTCCCACGCACAACTGCTGCTGTCAGGGGATGGCTTCTCTCTGAGGAGGCTCATTTCTTTGCAGATGTGTGTAACGTCGATCACCAGAACAAGGCAGGCTATACCCCCATCATGCTGGCAGCTCTCGCTGCTGTGGAGGCAGAGAAGGACATGCGGGTCGTGGAAGAACTCTTCGGCTGCGGGGACGTGAACGCCAAAGCCAGCCAGGTCAGTGCGCTTGCTTCCCATGCTCCCTAACGTGGCTCAGACCGCCTGCAGCAGACGGGCCTACCAGGACCCCTGGGGTGGAGCCGGCATTGACATTGTGCCTCCCACTGTGGCGCACTTTCTCGATGGCCCACCTGTGTCCAGGCACTGCCTGGGTCCTTGCCGACCAAATGCACCAGTGAAATGTGGGCCTAAATTTTACATTGGAAATGCTCCCTCTGCCTTGCCTTGCCTTGCCTCTGCTTGCAGACTTTGCAGGGAAACCATGTAAGGCTGCCTGCATATCAGCGACTGGGGTCCCATCATACACCTGGGGGGTGACTACTGCTTCCTGACTGTCTCTGGGTTGTAGGGTCTTCATGCCAGGTACAGAGTGTTCCAAGTTCACAGCTTGACTTTTAAACATCTTCTGAACTCTCCAGCACCCTGTTGATGAGACAGGTCCTCCAAGCTAAAGTGAAAACTTGACTCCTTACCTTATGATCTTCCTCAACTCAACTCACAAGAAACTAGCTTCCCAGGCCTGCCACCATCTGCCCCAAGTCATTCCAAGTCCCCTTTTTCCCTTCTGGCACCACACTCCTTCCTTTCCCCCAGCATAGCCCCACTCCGGGCCACCCCCACCAGCGGGGTATGCACTCCTGAAGTCTGCTGTCATTTCTTCCCCAGGCGGGGCAGACGGCCCTCATGCTGGCTGTCAGCCACGGACGCATAGACATGGTGAAGGGCCTGCTGGCCTGTGGGGCTGACGTCAACATCCAGGACGACGAGGGCTCCACGGCCCTGATGTGTGCCAGCGAGCACGGCCACGTGGAGATCGTCAAGCTGCTGCTGGCCCAGCCAGGCTGCAACGGCCATCTGGAGGACAACGTAAGCTGTCTCCATTGGCCTCCGGGCCAGGGGCCTAGGGGCTCAGGGAGGGAGCCTCTGAGTGCTGTTAGGCAAGAGGGAGAGAGCAAATCCTCCTTTATTCTCCTCATGAATTGGCATTGCCATCTAGGCCGCCTCCCTTCACAGCCCAGCTTGGCAGCATGTACTATGTGCAAGCTAATATGTGACTAAAGCCAAAGGCAGAAAGATAAATAGACACCACCCCAAAATTCACAAAAGGAAGAGGGTGACTAAATGGGCATGTTTGAGAACCACTGCACTACAGGGCAATAAACAGGCTTATGCCACAGAATCAAATTCAGTGTAGGCCACTCCTAATAAATCCACTAGGAAGAGAGGGCCGGGTCACCGGTCTATCTGGAAATCCAGATTATGAGTCATTAGAAGCTGAGGTTATTAGGTGGCTGAAATTAGTCCCATTATAGTGAAACGCTTTCTCACCCAGATGAAGTGAAGGCAGGTGATCCATTATGGCCTGTCCCAGTGAGTGACTGTGACATTTCCTCAGCCTGGGGATCCAGGCCATCTTGGCTTCTTTAAGCACGTTTTCCTCATCTGCTCCATCTGTTCCCGTCACCATCACTCTAATCTCCTCACCCAGTTCCCAAGCTGTCCCCATTCCCAGACCACACCTTGACTGGGAAACCTTCTACAGAAAGGGGATCCTTCTGGGGTCTCCAGCCAAGGGGGAGGATTACCGAGAGGGGAAGGCACAGGCCCTAGCATTTTGATAGTGAAACACTTCAAGGGTCACAAAGGATGGACTGGGTTGGTTCTGTGTTTGAAAGTTTACCTCTGGGGAGCACAGGTTTGGACCAGCACTTTGCTTAGCTCAAAACACCAAAAAGTTAGAAGGAAAACGTCTTCCTTTGCATTAAACTTCAGATCCATCTGGGCCCAGGCCAGTAGGAGGAACAAACCAGTGGAGGTCTTTGCATGCTTCAAGGGCTGACTAGCTTCTGCGGTCAACTACCTCCACAGGACGGCAAGCAAGCCCCATTGTTCAACTCCCTTAATGTCCCTTGACTCTTGATGGAGGGAGAGTATCCAACTTACCTTTCCTCAAGAACGGTTTATGTTCGATGTGTTTGGGGTTTTGTTTGTTTGCTTTTAATTGTACTCTCTTTCAGCTTAGAATACCTTGTAGATAGAGTAGTAAGAGGCCACAGGGCCACAGTGACTTCCCAAAGTCCTGGCCACCTCAGCTAATTGCCTGCTTCCTTATCCTTAAAGGAGTAGGAGAACATGCACCTGGCCTCTGGAAGAAAAGCAGCTACCAGAATTCTCAGCATGGGAGGGAACGACCATGAGATTCAAACCACATAAATTCACATTGTTTCCTGCTACTAAGGAGCAGAGGGGAATCCTTACTTTAAGACTAGACAGAAAATAAGTTGTGCTGCTCTTTGCTTTGATGTTCCTTTGTATCAGCCTAAATCCCTGCAATTTAATGACAATCAAGCAATTAACTGAAGTTTTTTGTCCCATAGGTAATATTTCCCCTTATATTTCCCTAAGATACATATATGCAAGCCTCCAGGATCAATGCTTACACGAAGATGTTAGTTGTAGCATTAAACAGAGGTGGTTTGGGCTTCAGGATCACAGTTTCCTCCCCAAGAGGAAAGTTAAGAGGTTTTGGCAAATTGCAGGGCCTCAAAACACACACCACGACACTTGTCTGGTCACTTGTAATTATAAGAGAAAAAAGGAACCAAACTATGTTTCTTCCCCTGCCTTCTCCTGCTGCCCTCGTCTGGTGGGCAGAATGGTTGAATAAGAGGTCTTCATGGGGGCCTGCATTTTTTGAGGAGGCGCAGTGTACAGACCACCATGCCACATACTGTGAGGCAGAGACAGGGAGAGGGGTAGTTCTCTGGGCTGTGAATTCCTTGAGGCGGCAGGCTTGCCTTACTGATCTTCACATCCTCAGGCCAGAACAGTTTCGTAAATGACTGAACTATATTTGGGGAACCTTAGCAAAATACTGGGGGGTGTTCTTTTTTTGCCTTTTGGCTGTCTGGAAGTTTAAGAAACCCAACCTGGCTTATTCTTTCCATCTCCCCTTAAGGATGGCAGCACCGCGCTCTCGATAGCCCTGGAGGCAGGACACAAGGACATCGCCGTTCTTCTGTACGCCCATGTCAACTTCGCAAAAGCCCAGTCTCCGGTCAGTGTTGTGCATTTGGCATTTGTAAATAGGCTGAAATCCACCAGACTGGCAGACCCCCTTCCTCAGGGAATTGACAGGCGACGCAGGTTTTATGTTGATTCTGAAAGTGGAAGTTTTAGTCTGGAGCTTAAGAGTTCATCATTTCTGTCCCACCCCGAAGGCCAGGAGAGCTGATGTTGAGCAGAGGCCCGGCCCTGCTTGTCCTTGGGAGACAGATGCTCCCACATCCGCACATGAAGAGTTTTGTTCCATTCAGAATTGTCCAAATGGCATCCTGAGCCCATGGATACATAGCACTACGTTCCTGGCATTGCTCCTAAAGAGGATGGTGGGCAACCTATAGTCCCAGAGTTTACTCTGAGTGGGGAAGCTGACTTCCCAGGACAGCTGGGCATGGCTCTGCTGGGCCCAGCTGGCCTTAGAGCCATGCCTGCTGCTGGTGGACATCTGTCCCATGTTCTCGGCTAGAGATCTCCTGGCTCTGGCTCATGGGTGGTTGTCAGCTGTGGTGGACAAGTTCCTACGTCACAGGGACACATCTGCCTACGGTCACTTTTTTTTTTTTTCCTTTTGTCTTTTTTTCGTGACCGGCAACGGATCGCAACCCTCAGTGTCACGCCCGTACCGGACCGGGACCGGCCACGAGATCGCAACCCTCGGTGTTGCTCCCACCCCTCGCTCAGCCAGTGAGCGGCCGGTCTGTATGTGGGATCCGAACCCTCGGCGGGAGCGCCACCGCACTTCCCAAGCGGCGCACTACAGCAGTGCGCCACCAGGCCGGCCCTATGGTCACTTTTAACACCCATTTTTCTTCCTTTCCTGGTCTCTAGGGCACGCCTAGGCTTGGAAGGAAGACGTCACCTGTTCCCACCCACCGAGGTTCATTTGATTGATTATGTGCAAATAGCGCTGCATGTACATGCCACCATTAAGCTGCTAATTGTTCCTGATGGGGTGACAGATGCTGAATGTATATGTATTGTGCCTGGGCTCACCAGCAAACAGAAGTATAATGCCACGGGCTCAAGGCTGAAGCTTTCACAGTGGGAGTGGAGCCAGCAGGAGACTGCCGACCTGGGCAAGTGTCTGCCATCTTCTGTCTGTGTAGGACACACTTTAACCCGTCTCTGTGGCTGCCAAATCTCTGCTCTGTTATGTGCAGTTGTAGGAAACTGTAACCTGACCTTTTCCTGTCTTCACCACTCCCATCACAAAGAAGTGTCAGGTTCTAACTGGCATTGGGTTTTTTAAATTTTCCACAAATATGAGGGTACTTCAAAAAGTCCATGGAAAGATTTGTATTATCTTTTAGTTCTGTTTTTCCGCGAACTTGTTGAAGTATCCCTGTATTTATATTTATTAAATGTGGAACCATTGGAATGCTCTTCCAAAATTCCATTCCAGGATGGTGGTGTTGATTTTTCTTTGTCTTTATTATTTTAAAGTAAGGAAGTTGAGGTGACCTTGATCATCAGCAACTTGGGCCTGGGCTGCAAGTTTCTGGTTTAAAAATAGAAGATGGAACTCTCTAAAAGTATAAAACTTAACAAAGGAAATATTTTCAGTTGGTTTTATCAAGGTGGATGTATTATATGACTTTTTATATAAAAGGTATCTATATGAAATTGACACAGTATTTTCAATTTTTATATTCCACAGTAATTAAAGACACGAAGAACTACATGTAACGTTACCATATTTTTATTAATAATTGCACAGCCCAGTCTGTAATGATAAAGGTTGAATTGCGTTAGAGGAATCGGCTATATATTTGCCTCTAGAGAAACAGTGTAGTTCTCTTTGTATTTATGGATTCCTTTATACCATGTCACATCTACTTTCGTCCTGTATGTATTTAAATGTTTGAAGTGCCTTAGACTCTTGCCATATTTTCAAAATAAAATTTCATTAAGCTCTTTTCCTTGTCCCTGCTTCATCTGTGACAGCTGTCTGCCCTGTCCTGTTGACTTACAGCAGCAGCAGCAGCGAACACTGACGGATGGATGGAGCTGGGAGGGAGAGCGTGCGCTCGGCTGGTCTCGGGCTCCACTAGGGAGGAGCTGTCTTCTAAGAGCACTTTGCCATTTCCACAGCCTGGCTCATGCCTGAGGTTGCACTTTAGGAGGCTGAAATTTAAGACCTTATTAGGCAAACAGCTCATTGGGCAGGTAATCTCCAAGGGGAGCTTCTGAATCAATTCTCAGGTGCAGAGGCGCTAGTCCTTGACTCTGATTTTGGGTGCAACTGCTGGGCGACTGGTTGAGATGTGTAGTGACAAGAAAGGAGAGACGAAGCCGGACAGGCTTTTTACTTCAGCGTGCTGTTGGCCAAACACATCTGTCTTCAAGTTCGTTTTAAAAAGTAAAGGGAATTGGAACCTTCTCATCAAAATGAAGAAGCGTGACAGCCAAAATTAAATCTAGATGTTTTGGCACAGTTGCTGGTGGTGAATTTTAACCAAGGTCATTTGTGAGAACCAGGTGCACTGGAAAAATATCACCCAGGCTTTTCTTTAAACGTTCCTTCCTCCCTCCCTTTTTAAAATTAAACATTATTGAGCTCAGGAAAGAGGCCAGAGGATAGACTTTTTCCAGAGGTGTTTCATCATAGTTCCTGTTTCACAGGGTTGAGGTTTGCATCTTGTAGAGAAACACATGGGGGAGCTGGGAAAGCAGTGCTGGCGACCAGGCAGACCCGGGCAGTAACAGACTGCTCTCCTGGTACCACGCCAGGGGCTAACACGAGGGCCGTCATCTTCCATGAACTGTGAAAGTGAGGTCTCAGCTACCTGGAGTCAGGAGCCTCTCTTTCCCTCCCAGGACAGATCTGCTAGCCTTGGAATTCAAGCTAAATTTTGGTTTCCGGTGGTTATTCATGCCCGAGTTCGCACAGATTCGAAATGGCACAATAAATTACAGTGGAAGAGAGAGAGTGTGTGTGTGTGTGTGTGTGTGTGTGTGTGTGTGTGTGTGTGTGTGTCAGGTGGTTGGTGGTCCTGGGAATTTTCTTTGTTCCATGTGAGAAAGAAGGGCATTAATATTGTAAATGCACGAGAAAGCGAATCCCTACATCTGCGTTCTGCCATTCAGATTTCTTGTGCTAAATTTTGAAAAATAAAACGAGTGCTTGTTTTATATTTGAGTGAGGTCTTATACAATATGTATCTAACCTCTGGGCAACGTGCACTGGCTTGTGCCTTGTTTGCTCTCATGACACTGGGCACTTAGAACGCTTTTTATCTTGAGATCTCAGCACACTGTACAAACAAGCCTGGTTATCCCCATTGGTACAGCTGCGATTCATCGAGGCACAAGTCCATAAAGGGATTTGTGACAGGAGGCTTGGGCAAAGTCCCCAAGTGAGGCTGGCATAGGGTTGGGGACTCCTGATTTTATTTTCCTGCTTAAGAGAAGGATAAAACTTTAGGTGACGGAGAGCCAATTTCCCAGAAACCCTTGCCCTGGAAATTGAGCAGCTGAAGGCTGGAATCCACCCCAAGACAACAGCAATGGAGCAGCGGGAACTTTGAGACTTTAATGTTAAGAAAGTAAAACTGCAACTGGTCTTGCCACTGTTATGACTAAACTGACAACTGAGCCTCTCATTACAGGAAGGGGGCAGAGTGGGGGTCGGGGTGATTCTGGAGAAATTTACCTGGAACACTCTGTCTAGAATTAGTCCCCCAAATAAATGAAGCAGTAACAGCCCAGCTCTGTGAGGAGGTGAAGGAAAAGATTCACTTGGGAAAATGCTCCCAGAGCTGTCTGCGTGCTCAGCTGCTGTCACACGTGGCTGAACCAACTCCTCCTCCTGTCCCCATAAGCACAGAAGCATGGACCCCTAGCAGCCATGGTGCCAGCCCATGTCGAGCCCTTTCCTGTGTGCTGTCAATACTCTGAAGAACAATTTTATCCCTGACTTTCGTAATACTGAAATACTGCAGGTATGTGACAGTCCTGGCAGGCAGAATCAAGTGAGAGAAGTGCTATTTTTCCCTCAAAGGAAATAATAACTAACCATAATCTTTCTTTAGATTCTAATGGATTCTTTTTGGGGGGGAGTCTGCTAAAAGTAGAAGTACTTTTATTTTTATGATGCTTTTGTGTAAGCGTTCCCTTCCCTTTTGGAGACAGGAGGAGGGGTTGGTTCAATACGTGTGTGACGGGCTGAGCAGGCAGACAGCTCTGGGAGCATCTCTCCCAAGTGAATCTCTTCCTTCTCCATCTGCACACGGAGCTGTACTGTTACTGCTCGAGAAGAAGGCTGTGAACTGTTGCTCTGGCTTTGGAATAAAGACAGTTTTCCATTTTCTTTCTTCTTAACAGATGAATGTTTTTAAAGCCCTGGGCTTTAGCCAGAAACTATCTAATTCTACTTTCTGTGTAAGGAAATTACTAATCATATGTTTGCTCTGCTCCTATTCAGCATGGCTGTAATTGAGAAGATAGCTGATTATAAAAATATATTTAAAGTACATTTTGTTAAAGATTATTACCACAAAAGGATGTGGTTGAGCTGCTAGCCACAGTGCTCCAGAGCTGCACACACTGGAGCTCCATCCCCACCGGCGTCGCGGACTGCCAGTTCCTAGAGTGGAATGAGACCATCACAATTAGCTCTTTAAGTAAGAAAGGTGGAGTTAGCCAGAACTGGTAATGGTATCCTTAAGATGCCTATCCTGAATTCTGCAAGAATTTTGCAGAGAAGCTGGAAAGCAAAATATTTTTTATGGGCACATGCTTATGCAGAAATGTCTGATTTCAAGGACATTTGGGGAGGAGCTGGCATTTTAAGAAAACAGCTGCCTACTTCCTCTCTATTAAGCCCTTTGATGACTTAATAAGCGAGAGGATGGGAAATATGTCCCCAATTTTCAGATAACACAACCTGTATAAGAAACACTCCTAAAGTCCAAACCAGTCTTGTATTTGAGCCAAAATAAGTTCTACAGTTTTTCTCCATTCCCCAACCCAGAAGGAACCAGTTCACTCAGCCCAGAACCACCTGGAAGGGTGAGGCTGTATGATTGAAAGGAAGAGAAAACACCTGAGCTGCAGACGGGCAGCTGCTACTTTGCAGCCAGTAGTATCAGGTAGCCCGATGCTATGTAAAGGTTGATTGTAGGAGACCAAGTGCCAGCAGGGCGGGCCACTTCTCATGTGTCAAGCAGCAGAGATTCTGGCTGTGGTCCCATCTGCTCTGTTATGAAATACTGCATGTGCTTAACTAAACATGTAATAAAGACAATATTCATTAATTAGGTAGAGTCCCTGAGAGTTCAGAGAGCTCATGCCCCCACCCCTGCCTAAAATATGTCACCCTCTTACCCCCCGAGAAAAACCAGTCTTCCAACAGGAAGTTCACTAGGATCTGCTTTCGTGCTTGAGTTTGTAATGCCATCTGCCAGGCCTGAGGTTCCGGTGCCTGGCTGATAAATACTAGATGAATGGATAAGTGTAGAAAACTAATTGAAGTATGGTGTTGAGAGTCAGGAGAGAGTTACCCTTAGGTGGGGGAGGGAGACCGAGAGTGCTACTGAGCGCCTGGTAATGCTCCCTTTCTTAGCCTGTATGGTGGTTGCACTGTGTTCACTTTGGGATCGTTCATTCTGATGTTTACTCATAATTTATATACATTAGCTTCAATTTTTCAAAGTTTAAATAAATGAAAAGGTTTGACCAAATAAGATCTTGGGGGGAGGGTGTAGATTTTGTAGATCTGAAGATCATTAGAAACAAAAAGATTATGAATGTAAAAACTGGCAACTCTTGGCTCTGCTATTTCTTTAACGTTAATATACATCTTTGCACAGGATGGGTGTTGTGGGTGACTCATAAACTTGGGTAGTAGTCATTAGGGCTGGTCTCAGATACTCCAGTCTTTTTCTGGGCATAATGGAGTAGGATGTACTTCCTGCCCACTTTTGACGTTAAGCTTGGCCATGTGACTTGCTTTGCCAGTGAAACATATGCGGAAGTGACAATTCCAGATGGGAGTGCAGTTCACCATATCTGGTGATCATGGAAGCAAGTGTTGAGGTGGACATTCCATCAGTGTCAGTCCCTGAGTGACAGCGTGGAGCAGAGTTCACTTGCTGACCTGTGGTACAGGTATATCATGAGCAAGAAATAA